TATGGTAGAATTCTTCCCCTCTTTTAGAAGGAGCCACATGTGAAAGCTGTAAGTGGGAGCCTAGATTTTTATGAAGCAGCTTATTTATTGGAGACACTAAAGTGTACAGTTAGACTTGGCTCAGGCCTGATCAAATCTATGCACTCCTGAGCAAGAAAAGAAGCGGGGGGGGTAGGATCCTAAACTTCACTTTCTTCCTTGCTTGCCCCTCTGATAAAAGGAGACTGGGTTGTAGGAAACAGCACAAATGCTATATTCTGCTTTAGGCTGAGCTGGCTTCTTCAACCCTTGTCTGCAGCACAGTTGGCTGAGTTGGATACCGCTTGGCTAAGGCTTTCTTCAGCAGATGATGGCCAGAATAAGGCCTGCTTGCCAGGCATAATTTTGACTTGAAGGTCTTGTTGCTAAGAATGGGGGTTACAATGACCAAATCTGAATTTTTAGTTTATAACTTGTATACAAAAAAGGTCCATCCCAGATGCCTAACCTTTATTGAGGTGGCCAAAAACAAATTGTACAGTTGTGTTTTGTCTAGGTATGCTGTAGAATATTGTGGAATAATGTATAAATAGTTTACCTATAGCTGTATAGGACATCTGGTGGTGCTTTGAAACTCAAAAGGCTTTTTTTTGTTCATCAAATTTAGCATAAGGAGCATTGCAAAAAAAACCCATTAAGATATTTCTGTTTACATGTATGTAAAGTGACTTTTTCAGCTGCCCTGTACAAAACTGGAAGTGATGTAACTTACCCACTCTTCTTGTCTATAGTTTCAGCCATTTTAAACTGATCAGCCCTAGAGCACTGGCAGACAAACTTCTTACAACAAAGCTTGCTCCTGTTTTCTTTTTTTTTATGTACATAGTAGTCATTTTTAATAAATGTGGTGGTGCCAGGAATAAGAGTGGAGGTGGCTCTCTGCCTCTTCTTTGACTGTATTGGGTATCCCAGCTGGGGGAGGAGGAGGGATCATGATCTTTAGTAACTGAGTTGTCTCTAAATTTTTCTCTTGTTTAAAAAAACAAAACAAACCCAACAACCAAACCCTTGCTCCTTTATCCCTTGCACTGTGCTCATTTGGATGCTGCTACCTGTGTGTGTCTGTTAGTTTTTAATATCTTCTCGTGGTTTGACTCAGTTGTCCTGCACATCACCTCAAGCTCTGAAACTGCAGCCTTGCCCAAAAAATCTGATAGTGCTGTTTTTACCCTGCTGCCTTCCATCCATCTTGCTGAGCAGGGCTGCGGGGGGTGAGGTGTGAGCTCAACCACCGTCCCAGGGAGCGACTTGTGAACTCGGCCGGCTTCCCCCAGCGGCAGTGGGACTGCCCCCGCCGGCCCCTACCCGCCCCCTCCGTTTCCTGGAACACAGTAAGAAATTCCCCTGCGAGCTTATCTGGGGGAGAAAAACCCCTCCTGGCAGAGCGATTGAATCCTGGCTCCCGCGGCAGCGGGACCTTTCCTGAGGATATGCAAGCAGTAATGGGATTAAACTGTTAGCGATGCCCGGCTGCAAACAAAATTAACCAGAGGCTCAGGCCAGGGGCCGCCCCGAAGGAGGTAATGCAATCGAGGTGTGCAGGCAGCAGCCTCCGGGTGGGTCCCACCTTCCGGAGCGGATAGCGGTGGGTTTCCGAGGAGATTTCGATAGGCTCTTGACTTCTCGGTGCGAAGCTTCGGCTCTGTGCGTTGGCGAGCGAAACAAATCGGTGTCCCTGCAGCTCTTCCCCTGCACAAGGAGCCGCATCCTATTTGAGACAAAGGACGCTCACGATAACTTTTAATCGACTAGGGATGGAATATTTATTTTAATCTTTTTTTCCCTACTTATTTTCCTTGTCAGTAAGGGATAACCACTGCCGGAGAAGACCTTCGAAAGGGCAGGCTGCCCTCCATTTCCAGCTGGGGGTGCCGGGCCATGCCGGCCGCACCTTGCCCGCCCTTCCCGGGCTGCATACACCGGTTATACAGTGCTCAGCAGCGCGGTTCCGCCGCAGTGCGTTATTAAAAGCTGTATATTTTTGCACTGCACAGTTAAAAAGAACTTAATACTTGTGAAAAGTCCTCACACTGTTTAATAGAAACATAAGTGCCTGGCTGGCCCCAATTAACACCTTGTGATTATAATGCATTCCTAAAATGGGGTGTCAGACGCCAAATTGTGAATAAAGGTATCTAATTAATCTTCATAGGATGACACTGATAAACAACTCTATATTTAAATAAAGATCAAGGAACTGAATGCTTCTTATTTGTTTACATTAACAGGAGATAAAGTTAACTACCTTTACACTTTGCTTCGTGATGCGATTTACTGAGACAAACAGCAGGCTCCGGGGGAGAGCCCCTCCTAGCCTCGGCGGGCTCTTTATCCTGGGTTTGGACGAAGGGGCCGATCCTGAGGATGACTGCTTCTTCCACAGCCCCCACACTGGGCGGAAAGGCGGCACTTTCTCCTCGCAGCTGGCGGGCAAGCAAGGACTGCGAGGAAACTCGTCCGTCGGCCCGGTCCTTGCGATTTCGGTAGCTCTCGCATGAAAACTGCGTGCGATTTTTAAATGACAGCTGAGCTGGGATGGGGGCAAGTGGAGTCTAGAGGAGAAAAAAAAATAAAATTAAAAAACAGTTATTTACACTACTGCGGTGGCGCGCAGTGAGAGGTGAACTGTAAGCCTGCCTGGTGAAGCTGTGACATCCAGTTGTGAGTGAAGCAAAAGCCAGATCTCCTTGGTATTGGCTGGGGTCCGCCCGCTTCTGCTTAGTTTCATGCGGGCGAAGGCGCCGCCGGCTGAGGGGGGCTCCCCCCAAAGAAACGGGGAAACGGCCTCTAAAACCATTTGATGCCGTTCCTGGCGAATTAGCGCTTTTCTGTAATATTTCTCCACTGAGTCGAGAGAGCAGTTCCCTTCTCTGCACGCGTAGCATTTATTTGGTTTTAATAACATGGACGCTTTGCGGGTCAATAGCTGCAGCGGAGACGCGCACATCTCGGGATGGGGTGACTACTCCTCAGGAAAGACTTATTTTTTCCCCCCTGAGTTTTAGGAGTTTTTGCTTGGTTGTTGTTTGCTTTTTTTTTTTTTTGTTAAAGCAGATCCGACACTTCATCGCCTCTCTTGACTGTGGTCTTTGCAGCGGCACGTTGGGAGCAACGGCCTGATTTATTTTATCTTATTTCTATTTCTTTTTCAACGAAACAGCATCTTCGCTGCTCGTCCCCAGCTGTATCGCCGGTGCTTCACACCTCGGCGGGAAAACGAAACGACGCCCAGGCGCTTCTCCTTCCGACGGCTTCTCCCCGACCACTTCGGGAGAAAAAGTCTCTGTCCCCGGGGGCGGCGGTCTTGGCGCTCCGGGGAGGAAGGAGAATGTATTTTTCGATGTGTTTTCTCTTCGAGTAATGTGAGGGGGTTTTACTTTCGTTCTGAATTTCTGCTCCCACCTTCCTCAGCGCTGTCTTTTTCACCACCTGCTGGCTTGTTTCCACCTCCTCCTCTCTGAAGGGAGCGTGGCGTTAATGGAGGGGGGGTTTCCCGGGAAGGGTTATTTTTACAGCCCCCCTTAACCTCCGCTATCGCCTTCCCTGAGGGGAGGACGGTATAGTGGCGGTTGAGGCGGGAATAGGCCTCCGATGGCTTTTGCAGTACCGTTACACTTCGAAACTGTCCCTTTCTGCCAAGACTACCGGCTAGGAGTGCTGGGGGAGCCGGCAGTGGGCGGCCATGGGGCCCGGGTTTTGGGGAGAAAATGCCACCGAGGGGGTTGAGGTGAGGGAGACTAGGCCCACTGGCGCTTCCCTCACGCCTGTCCATCCCATGAAATTGTGTTTTGCCACCATCGGAATTTTTTATTATTATTATTGTTATTATTACTATTATTATTTCCACTGTTTGTCCCATATTTTTTTGTACATACAGGCCTATTCCCCACCCCCCTGAGGTATCCGTAGCCCATACCTCCCTGTTCGTAATGAATATGACTAATATAAATATTAATCTAATCCTTATTGGAAGGATTTTAGTGCTTGCTGGATATCACAAATATGTAATCCAAGGAAGAATGACATTAGGCTGAAAGTATGGAGCGCAAAATATGATTTGAATAAAATGATAGAGTGGTATCTAATATTTCCTTTAGGGAGTACTATACTCCGAGCTGTCACAACCGATTGTGTAAGTAGACAAGACTGAGGGATGTGATCCTAATCATATTGATGAAACATTCATCTGAAAGACCGAGTGCAACCAGAAGGGACTCACTAGGAATACAATTAAATCCTAATCTGGGGAGGAGGAAGCCTCTGCAGGCTTTCCTCTAACCTGCTGCCCTCCCGCTTTTCATTTTGCAGTCAAATACAGGATAGCAAGAGGAAATAAATAGCTGTTTGCCTGTCTGAAGGACTGCATTAACACAGGGAATGCTAGGTAGGAAAGAGGTAATTCTGCAGTACTGACCCTGTAGATAATAAAAAATAAAGGCCTAACTTTACTCACAGACTTCACTACCTGTCTGCAGAGGGTTTTCACCTGTGAGTGGTGTTAATCAGGTGTGTCTGGGGAGTTTCTCTCCAGCCCAGATTTTGACCACCAGCTCAGACCTAGGCTTGTGAACAAAATTTAGTTTTCTGTCTGTTGTATGCTATTTAGTTTCCATCTGCAGCAGGGAGCTGATTTCTTGCTGATAATATTTATTATCAAAGAAGTTATTTTCCAACCCTTCTTAGCAGTTGGTTCCTGTTTATCTCTCATTGCCATGGTCTCAGACTGCCTTTCAGTAGTGTGGTTCACAGGGTGAAATGGCATCAGGCAG